ACGCTTCTTCCAAAGTTGAATAATAAACACAAAAGATACTTGGTCTTGGAAATGACATCATGACAAATGACGGCGATATGAGTTCATTCTATTAATTGTAAGATAATAAATTAGCGGTTTATAAAAAAATAGGTAAATAGTTCATTCGAAAACCATACCCTTAGGTTCCAAATGTATTAAACATGTCCTTTTTTCAAATTTTACAATGTTACAAATTTCTTGTTATGAAACATCCAAAATCGCGAGTTTTTTACTTCTAATTTTTGAACAAATTTTCACTCAAAGAAGGTCTTCAAATTTTGTTCTTCATATGTATCAAAGGACGGTGAAAAAATTAGTGCCGATTCCATTTTCGTGATCACTGTATTTTCAAAAATTGCAAAAGTACAATATTGATTTCAGAGATATGTCTTAAATGAAATATTTCCACAAATCAATTTTAAATAAAAAACTAGTATGATTTTTTAACGAGGGATTTTTGCGGACTTTCTGCTTAAATTTCATACAAATTTTAAAATATTCAAATGTTTACTTTATTTTTTCTTGGTTAGAATAAGAGGCATTTAAACGAATGGTGCGGGTTTCATTTTCAACTCTCTACATTTTTGAAAACTGCCAATTTGAAATATATATATTTAGATGGAATACGACAAAATATGGGCTGTTGTAACACCAATAGTTACATTTGTGTTATTCATGACGATTAAAAGAAACCATAAAATATTTTCACTTGTGTTTAAATCGAAAGTGGGAAAAAAAGCATACTGTGCCGTATCAGAGTATCTTGCTTTTAATGAAAACCAAAAAGGTTGCGCTGTCGTTCATTCTTTTTTTGTCCGAATTGCCCAACAATGAAAGATAGGATTTCTACAAGGATTTGTCAGAACAATGATGAAAGCCAACATTCCTTAAATGTAACTATATTATGTTTACTTCACAACTTTGCACAAGAACATAAATATTATTAAAAATAATAATAATAATAATAATAATAATAATAATAATAATAATAATAATAATAATATAAAGTGTCTTTTTAAATACCGATTTCTATAGTTTTTCGTGTCTGTAAATTCGCAGCTTAATAATAACTGTTTTAATCATCAGATCATCATTAATTCAAGGAATTCTGATCAATTTATTGAAGTTCATAGAACAATCATTTGTTTAAAAAACAATTTTTATTATATATTCCAAATCCCCGCATTTCTGAAAGTAATTGAATGATAGATGTAAATTTCGTAAGAGAGTAGTTTTCTTTAACCTTGGTGGAAATAATTATTTACGAAACATTCAAAAGAATGTATATATGAATGTATGTTTAAATTGAAGTTATTATTTTCTTAAGTAAATTTAAAACGAGATTCCAACTTCTGAAACACACAAACTAGCCAGGGCACGGCGCAAATAATAAAAAATATAATATAATACGATCTCACAGGCTTAGTTGTTTTTTTTCGATTGCTTTTGTCATTTTTGCTCAATAATTAGAGGAATGCTGAACATGGTCTTCAAGAGTTTTTACGGAGAACGCTCTTTCTTTCAGCAACAGTTTTTGCAATTTCCTCCTTCCTTCTGACTACTAAACTACATGTTAGTATAATATTTGCCCAATTTTTCGGTATCAGCTGCCTACAATACGAGTTATTCCTGCCGAAAAATCCCTGTTTTTCTCTTCGTATGTACGTAATACGGAAGAAAGGAACCCGAGCAAAAATTTCTTAACTCTAGTCATACGCAGCTTTTTTTAATGGTTCATTAAAAATATCATATTAAGATTCGAATGGCATTCTACCCAGTACTGACCCTGCACAGTTTTCTTATGTATGTGTACGTGCCTTCGGTAACATGTATAAGAGCGCATGTGTAGTGAAGTTTCGCATCCTAAACCCGAAAATTTCTTTTACAGAGGGCAGAAAGAGATATCCCATCGCTTAAGAAGTCCGCTGTTGTGCATTGATGCAATTTATCAGTTATCTTCATCAGGTCGCAAAGCGAAGGAAAGTCTAAAATGGGGACGCAACTTTCATAACAAGGTAAAAATTCTTTCTAATGTCACAGGTTTTATGAAGTTAAAGAAATAAAATATAGAACATTTGCCGTGTTTTTCAACAACATGAACATACTTCAAAATACGAAATATTTCTATATGGAACTAAATTGAAGCACTGGTGAATGAAAATATTCCCAAGCATGTTCCGAGTTTTATTGAATTTTCACAATCGTGTGAAATGTTTTAAAAGTTATAAAATGTGTAACACGTTTTAAACCATAAATGTTACAGTCTAACGGCATATCAAAGTGCAAACACGTGTAAATCCATGAAAACAGACATGTATAATTAACAATAATTGATAAGAGCTCTTATTTTTGTTACACGATATGATGTTCGAGTATTTCGACCTGTGGAGATTAGCTCTAGTAACTGGGCTTCGCTCAAGAGAAAATGCACTACCTCATCGAACCTCCCTACCAGTATAGAAAAAGGGTCTAAGCGTAGTCAGTAGCAGCAGGAGACTACTAGGAACGCTATATTGATGTCAATATTTTCAAAATATCAAGGTTTCTATAAAATATCAGTTTTAATCATATATCAGTTTTGTAACACATTTTTGGGCTCGATATTTGTAGGTTTTCGATGCTTTGTTTGTGGATGGAATCCCATAACCATAAGTGCGTAAAAGTTTACATACATACATGTGTTCCAACCAAACGAACGCTGGTGAGAGCGTAGGCTTCTGCGGCTGGAGTCAGTGTTTACTTGGCTATTCGGGAGACGCCGCGTCTAGGACATCGATCTTTTAATCGATCATTAACATCGATCTTTTAATTTTGAACATCGATCTTTTAATTTTGAACATCGATGTTTTGTTGTCGATGTCGCATCTTTAGACAGTACTCCACCGCAATGATCTTATTGATCTTATGAGCGACAATGGTAAGGTGAGGTGGAGGCTAGTGTAATGGTAAGCTAGGTGGTAAATATAGTAGTATAAGCAAACAGCCAAAGGGCTAAAGCTGTCATAAAAATGCTCAATGTTATTATGATGAATACATCGATCTATAAATATTTCTTTGTTACCTCGCATACATGAGCCATCACATCACATTCCTTCACGTTTATTTATTTGCAGGTCCTTGAGCAGCGGCAGACAATACTCCGCGCAAAAGCTGAGAGTTTAATGATGAAGAAGAGTCTAAAGAAGGACGAGAACACATCAGAAACCCGAAATAATGTTCCTACAGATGACCCGAACGTAAATTCAAACAAAAAGGAGTTCAACATACTAATAGACGCATTGCTTCAAGAAAGAGGAAGGTCTATTTCTCATGAAAGTGTTTTAGATGAAAATCTGACACTCACTCTGGCCGTAAGTTACTTACCAAACAGTCTCAATATCAAGAAAAGCATAGATTTGCTACAATAGTTCGATGCAAACCAGAATCACAAAATGCCACAAAATGGTTTTCAATATAATTAACTACATGCGAAACTATAAAATAGGAACTTTCAAACCGATTCAAAGATGTGATTTTAAATGTTTATTTTTGTGGAAGACATGGAAGACGTGGAAGACTGAAGACAAAAAATATCAAAACAATGTGATATTATATGTTTAAAATTTAAAACCACAAGACTTTTTCGTCTGATGGGCAACACATTAACTAGCTATACGAATGTACAGAATAATAAAAACCCTCTTACTGACTTTGCAAAATGGGAAATACTACATAACCAGGTTAAGCAAATAACTGATATAACAAATTTTGTAAATTACCAAAATCTTGGCATGTATTCTCACATTTCTTGTCACTTCAAAAGAGGTGCTTATATTATAACTAAGTTATTCATGAGGGTAGACATATCGTTTAATGTAGAAATTATTTTTGTGAACTCTCACAATAGTCTGAAAGACGCTAAGAAATCGTGTTTAGAAGAGAAATCTGCTAAGGGACGACAGACGGGTTTCGGCTCAAACCAAAAGTAAATTTCCTTTACAAAATATACTTACATGGAAAATATTCATTTACCAACTGTCTAGCCACATTTTACTATGTTAATGGTCACAATTAACAAATATATAAACTACATTCAATAGAGATCATTTGTATAACATCTTTCTATGAACTTATTTAATCATTAGATAGAATCGTAAATTAATACTATGCCAGACTGGTTGGGATGTTCGAAAACATTTAAAATTTCAAAACTTTAAAAATGAAACGAAGTAATTAAAACAGATGATTAATGTTACTATTCATATAAACTGCGTTAAGTAAAAAAAATGAAATCCCTGTTTTGAAAAGAATACGAATCTCTAATAACTTAATTTAAAATAATGTGAAAACTATACTGTATATATAAACTATACTGTATACTTAAATACTATTACTGAACATTTTTTAAAGAATATTGTAGATAAAAATTTGACTATGTTATCTTAAAAATTTTAAAACTGAAGATATCTTAGATAGGTCAAGCCAAGATATTAATTTCAAAAATTCAATTTTTTTTTTGATGAATTTCTTTTTGAAATTTTGATGAAATGAAAATTTTATGATAGCGTACGTTTTCCTATTCCCATATAATTAATCAGAAGAAAATAGCTTTTTTGGAGTAATCTTGAAAATGGACTATGGAGATAATTTAATTATCTCTAAACTTGTGAAGTCTGTCAACCGCGGAATATCCATTTTGAGAAAACATTATTGCTTGAGAGTTGCTTCTCGCAGGCAAAGTCTAGCCGGAAGCAGGGACAGACTAGCCGAAATCGAAGATCTTGTCTCGGCTGGGGCGGTACCTTGTTGGTGGGTCTATCCGGGGAGGGGGATTTTTCCGCAAGCCGACGTGTAGGTCGACACGGAATATCGGAATGTTTTATTCATAATGTTAATTTTGTGATGTGTTTATGTGCAACACGCTTCTCTACAATATTGTGTAGACTATCACCAAAAAATCAAGAATTTTCTTATTCTTTTGCAATTTTAATGTTTTGCAGGGTTTTGACACAACTGCCATTGCTATCCAGTTCGCATTCTACTTTCTTGCCAAAAATCCACACGTTCAGGTAAGTTTAAGTTTATTGATTTGAAAATGTGATTAATGTTGACATTAAGTGCGTAACATTGTAAGCTCAACAATAGATTAATGGTATCTTTGGCGAAACTATTAAAACAGTTCGAGAAATCTCGCCTGTTACAAACTCTTCAAATATTTCGGCCATAGGCAGAATTAAATCACGAAACAACAAAGCGTAAACACAAGAGAGATGAGTCCTTTGAATTTTGAGCGGAAGGATATTGCTGGAGACAAATGATAAGTTCTCTTGAAATGTGCAATATTTACATATTACGCTACTTTTTTACATTAATTTTATTAATTTAAATTAATTAATTATATTGATAAGAATCAGACATGAGACAAAATAACACTAATATGAGTATTGGGGTTACGCGTCATCCCAACATAACTTCAACTATGTGGAACTGTTAAAATATTACCTTGGTAAATAGCAAACGTACATAATTCTTTAACAATGGGAAGTTTGCTTTACAGTTTCGTGAATAGTTTCAATGCAGTTTATTTGAGGTGGCTAGTAAGCTTATTAAGTACGATACTTTAAGTTATGACTCCTACGATGACAAAGATAAAAGTAAATACGAATGCGTCTATATTTAAGAAGTAGAGCGATCGGTAGATTAGTGAATGCGATAGCGAAGATTGTGTAAGTGATTTTACTGAATGCGAAGACAATCTTAGTATTTCTCGTGCAACTTTTCTTGAACGATGGATTGATGAAATGTGAATAGAGTTGGGGTATTAGTTACGAAATCGGCCACTAGATTTTATAAAGCAATGCCAATCTCTGGAGAATCAGTCATGTCTTCACAACTTTTTCAATAATTTGCGTTCTAACTTTCTCAGGATTTCGAGGCATTTCCTGTGATGGATCTTCACCTGCTTCGGTCATTTCTTTAGATTTTTTGGAGAATTTCACGGACAGAAGTTCCAGTCTTCAACAGAAAATAGTTTCTATTTCACGCCTGGGAAGAAGTGTTTTGAATGTTGTCATCAGTGCTCCCTGTAATCTTTTGCCTTCATTTGTTAATTGTACCAGAGAGGGGGAAGCAAGGTCATCGTTCAAGAAATGTTGCGCGACAAATACAAAGTAAATACATCAGCGTATCAGAGAGTGACCTCTTTGATAGTGGCACACAATAGCAGCCGCTTAATTCGGTGACGTAATCTTCCTTTGATGCAACAAACTCGGAATGTATCAACGAATGAGACAGAGCTTCGTTTCAGCCCCGCATTAATGCTGCCTAATAACATTGTAATCAAATAAGGTGTCGCTGACGGTGTACTATGTTTTAAAAATAGTTTCATGTGCTGAACATTTCTTTCACACCTATCATTTTACATGTTCTCTCTGTATCTGGTACTGGACTAGCCAATGAATACAAGTAGCTGATAATGTTATACTCCACTTCAAAAGTTCCCAACACCACCTTGACATTGCATGTTACCTCCATACAGAATATGTACTAGTAATATTGCATTTCAAAATTATAATCGCCGTAACAAATACTCGCAGGTATTGACGATGCGAATACTTAGATTTTAGTACAGCTACATTTTACGCTGTTTTGGCAAAATGCACACAGCACATATGCATTAACACACATGCTAAATGCCAAAATGTTGATCATTCCTAATTCCGAAAATTTTCTCGCAATGTCTTTTACATCTACATTTGACTCTACCCCGGATTTGTTTCACACTTCCATATTTTTATCCCCTAATTTTGAAGAGATTAAAACACCACAAACCCTGTCTAATTTGTGTATACTTCTTTTGTGTTTCTACTTCTGCAATTGCTCTATAAATAAGTGTGTATGCGAATCTATATAAACATCAAAAGGCGACTGTTTTGTATGTTTATGTAAATAAGGTGTTAGTTAAGTTTAATAAGAATAAGGTTCGGGTCACATTCATTTGAAACTCGGTATTTTCAAACTTAAGAACGTAAACGTGATAATTCTAACGCCAGAACGTTCATTCATCCGCTAGCATTACTTACAGTTTTGTTGTCTCCGTATTCACTTGAAATGTTTCAAATGTAATATGTTCCAAGACAATACTGTTCATAGGTTTTCGCAGTTTTTAAAATACTAATGAAATTTAAAATGAAATCTACAGCGCGATTCATTTGTTTACTTAAACATGACATCATCAGTGTATCCAATGTCGTAAAAGAAAATTATGACCTACGGAATGAAAATTGCTAAGAGAGTAACTTGTTAAGTGGCCTAGGTTCTGGCGATACGCCAATAGCCTAAAGGCGTAGGCAATGAGGAGACGGGAATTGGACTCAAGCCGCCCGAACCTTTGTTCGGGTGACCCCCAGCTGGGCTCTCGGATTCGTCGAGGCAGTGGTCCGATGCTCTGGGCCAAGAGGAGGGACTTGTCCCAGCGCATGTGAGTGGTCCATCGATTAGACTCCGACACTAGCTCGGAATGCTAGTAGCTCTGGGCTGGTAGGGCGGCCCCACTCAGGCATTGATTTGGGAGGTAGCGGCGAGGGCAAAGTGCATTCTGTCGGGATACAGAAACCAGCCTGGCGACGTACTTGTGCCCCTGGTAGAACTAGTGTTTGTGTGGGCTTTTGCCCACGTAGGGTTCCTACTTCCTGCTGTATAAAATTAATCTTTTTAATTAATGCGCGAACGTGCATTTTAACGGGGCTCGTGCCCTCAGAAATGTGCTTACCCAGCGCCCTCTTGAAGACTGTATTCTAGAGGGCGCTGCCTTACCATTGTTAAAAAGATTCATTTTATAAAGCAGGAGGAGGTCTAATGCCATCAGCCATTAGAAAAATTAAAGTACAAAGAAATGGTTTTAAGGTTCAATACCAGTATGCAGATCCAAAAGATTTCGATTCTACTGTCGAAATCCTAATAAAGAAATGAATTCCGAAGTTCTCGAATGATTTCCTTTTCAGGAAAAGGCCGTGAGAGAACTTCGGGATATTTTTCACGCTGCCGGGTCTACGGAAGTGACAGCGGAGACGCTGCAACGCATGCAGTATGTGGATATGATTGTGAAGGAGACCCTGCGTTTGCACCCACCCGTCTTCTTTTACGTGAAGGAAGCAGGTGTTGACACTCCTCTTGTTTCCAGTGAGTAGAGAAAAGTTAGGGTTAGCAGAGACCAAGTTGAAAAAATGTGGATCCTTGGATTAAAAAAGGACATTACACAATAAATCAGGACATTTTTTATAATGACATACAGGTAGAGATTTTGTACTACTACAGAAGAGAGATGAATTTATTTGTTAATTCTGCTGTATGGTAAATTATGCGTTTGGCAGATTTATGATTAAGAATTCTTCTTATCTCTGTGTCAATATTTCCCGAACAATATAAGGATAAGTCATACTTATTGTTCTTATAGTTAGAAACACTGAGTTTCATTTCTAATATATTTCTTTATATAAAGCAATTTTATTTTTTGAATATTTGTTAGAAATATTATAATTGCAATAATCAATAAATAGATGACACAGATCAAATATAAGGACTTTTGAAAACAAATCAGTACAGTCAGGATAAGGTCCGAAAATCAGGACGTTGGCTAAACCTAGAAAAGTGAATGTATGTTAGAGGGCCCTGATGACAGCGCCGGTGGTTGCGCAGCTGCGGGGCCAATTTTCCTTGTTTCTTCGGGGCCACCCATGAATTACGTGAGGCCTTGAGGGCGAGGGGTCAAGGAGAATCTCACCTAATGTACGGGAAGAATGGTGTTTCGCAAATATCACGTTGGTTCGCTAAAAACAGTGATAATTTCTGAGCAAACTAAGACAAGTTAAATAAAACACGTTTCTATACTAAAACATACCTAAATTTTACACAACAAATTTTTATCGCAGTCATGTGAGTGCTACATTAAGTAATGTAGTAAACTGAGAAACATCATCTAACAAAAATTACATTTTTTATCATTATACAGATGAATCTCATTACCTGTATTTTACAGACATTTTAAAGAAAAATTACTAAGAATGAATTATTGCACTGTTTGTAGAAATGCAATAATATATATTGCAAATCAATCACTATTTTCTAAATACTAGGCATATCTGGTCTTAAATATAATGAAGCAAATTATGTTTTTTTAAATAAATCCCAATGCAATCATAAATTAACGTATTTACATTAAAAATACGCATCTTGAAATATATCTCGTAAGATTAGAAGGGGACGGGGGAGCCAAATCTCACTACTCACCAAGAGAGGAGGGAGAATTGAAAAATCGCCAAAATCGCGTCACGTAATTAATGGAAGGCCCCTAAGCCGGAAGGAGGATTGAAGTGGTGTTATGCCGTATGTGAATTGCGAATTGAGGACTAAATTTCATCTTTTCTTGCAAAACTTACTTTCTAATTCTACGTGAAAATGGGACCTAAATCAATCCAGGTAAGGAAAAGGACTGATTGAGCAGGTAAGCGCGTTAGGGGGCCGCCGCCGCGCTTCTATCCAGCTTTTTCTTTTGCCTTACTGAAAATCTTCCCGGCTCGCTCCTATATCAAAATGAAAAGCAAAGAGAGCACTAGAAGAGAATCTGGAAAAGAGATGTGTGTAAAATGTCAAGATTAGCATAATTAATTCAATCAACAAATGATTCAATTGAATAAAAACCAACAAAAGAAATATGCCAGTCCTAAGTGTGAAAAATTGGGGAGAATTTTAAAAATAATAGGTATAAAAATGTTTTTCGAAAATAATGCCATCTTCCACTTTTTCATGTAAACAGGTTGAGGACATTCAGTGTATTATTTACCATTTGAATTGTATAATTCTAAAGAACATGTAACATGTATTGTACTTCAGCTTTTGGATGAATGACCTCCATCTCGAACAGGTTTTTGTCGAGTTTTCCTGATCCTTGAGCAAATGATGGGAAGGCCCCTTCTTTTACTTCTGGACATAAATGTAACTTCAAATTAACTTCTCCCCAAAGCACGTCACACAGTTTTTAGTTTATTTCAGAAATTCATCAAACACCAAAAATTTTTAAAAAACGCGTAAGCAACAAGATATTGTTCTTTGAGGATAAACACAACCTTTTGTATAGAAATAAACTATTTGCCACTTTTGCAATGTACTCTGAAGGACCATAAAACATCGTGTTTAAAACGGAAACCCGTCAAGAGAAGTCGTTTGACTGGTTTCTGCTCTAATCCAAAAGGAAATTTCCTTTTAACTCTGCAGTGGTCCCATGCGGACAACCACGTGAATCAGGATGTCACATGTAATCCAAGCTACTTTGAAGGGTTATCAGCACCACCCCATGGGTCAGTTCGAGAAGGAAGATTTTCTAAGAAAGGTACAGGATGTGTCGCCATGATTTCTATTTACGCGACTCTATCTATTTGTGAAAGTCGTGAGATTGTTGTTCTCAGTTTATAAGTTGCATCTGTTCGGAGAGCCGTTTTTAAGTTTCCTATGTAAGTGGCTTGATTTTGTTGTGATTAGTGAGTAAGAAAAAGTTGTTTTTTGTGAGAACATGCCGAGTTCAGAAGATGAACGGGTTCGTAAAAGGAGACGCGGAGATCTTCATGAAGAAACGTATCAGTGTTGATAATGTGACATTTTACACATGAATTGCAATCTCGAGAAAGTTTCACACCCGGTAGAAAGAATATTATAGCCAACTCATTGATTCATATACAAAAAAGTTTGCTTCCACTTCTCCACACAAAAGTAGGATTAATGAAAAGCCTCGTTATAGCAATGAATACACAGATTTCAGCTTTTCTTTATACAATGAAGACATTTCCACATATCAGTGAGGCAAAATTGATTGCAGGTATTTTTGATGCCCCCCCCCCCCAATTAGATTAATGATTGATACCTAGTTTGAAAAGAGTATGAAAGAAATAGAAAGGAAGCTTCGCTTCATTTAAAACAATTCCTTGGAAAGCAACGAAGTTCCGAATATGAAGTTATAATTCGAAGTCTCCTAATCAGCTTCAAGAACATGGAACCTTGCAGGTCTATAAAATTGCATTTTTTGAGTGCACATCTAAATTATTTTCCAGACAATTGTGAGGATTATAGTGAGGAACAAGGATAAAGATTCCACCACGACGTCAGAACAATGTAAGAAAGGTATCAATGTCGCTGGGACATGATGCCTGATTATTGTTAGTGTCTGAAAAGAGATTAATCTAAAGCAGCACATTTACGAAAGGCGCTTAAGTAATAATTTTTATAAAATGAATTCTCTTATATAAAAAACATTAAAATATGATAAAAGGAAAGATAAAATAGCTAATTTACTTTATCATACACAGTTATTACTCACGAGGGATACATACTGAAAATTCAAAAGTATTTATTTTTTTTCACAATATTTATGGTTTTTAATATACTTTTCTATTAACAAAGATTGCGCTGAAACACTGTTTTATTCACTCAATACGTAGCTTCATGTAATCTACTCTTGTTATCACATCTGTAATCGAGTTGACCTCTATAAAGAGAAAATATTGTAATGGTAAAAACAGTATGCTTAATAGCATAGCGCAAAAACGTGACGTGGTTGAGGAAAACTAATATTATGTTCGAGTTTTGATTGGTCAATTCTTACAAAAACCGATAAAAAAATGTAAACATCATTAAAAAACGCAGGTCAGTGTAATCAATCAATCAATCCAGCTCGCTCTCGTCAAGGCCAGCCTACGTCCCAGCCTATGCTGTGTACGTTCGATTACCCGCCCTTCAACAACGGTGCGCATTCAAACTGTTCCATTTGCGTGGATGTGAAGCGCACAGCCTACCCAGGCTGAAGTTCACGCTGGGATGAACTCTTTCTCAATCACTGTTAATTAAAAACGGTAATAAAGAGAAAAGATCTTACTTCTACTGTACATTCGGTTTTCGTCATACATTTTATAACGAACGTTTTCATTTGTTGTATTATATTTCTTTTCCGACCTAAGCTGCGATGTCCTTTCATTTTGCAGGCAATCTCGTCGTTCCCGCAGGAGCTATTGTGTTGATATCTCCAAGGACTATGCACATAAATCCCAAGTTGTACCCTGATCCGCACGTGTTCGATCCAGAACGTTTCTTTCCCGAGAACTCTGCCAAACGACACCCTAGCGCTTTCATTCCATTTGGTGCTGGAATGCGAGCTTGCATGGGTAGGTATTATTTATTAGACCTTTGATACCTCGTTTTAAAAGTCGAGGATTGCAAAGAATATTTTACAAATCGTTACATTAATTTTATACCAAACATTCAGTAAGTTGAGAAGTATTTAAATAATAATTAACAGAACAGTGGTTGTGTTAAAGAAGATTTGTAGCAGTATTAGTCGTTGGAATTGAAATATTGAAGAATATTCAAATATAAGTTGAGGACAGGTTGAAATGGATTTGCTAAACTAATATTGACACTTGGTATTTTCAAAAGATGTTTATCTTTCTCAGGTAATTTAGCTTTTCAGGGCTTTAAATGGTAGATTTTCACATAATTAGTATTATTATTATTTTGTAACTTGGTATTAAAAGGAGTAAAAAGGGAGAATCGTTTATGCTTCATATAATAACGCAAAGAAGCAAATGAGGGAATTCAAGCACAAACTCATAATTAAATGTTAAATATTTTTTGTTTTCTTTTTACAGGAAGAAAATACGCAATATTGGTTTTGAAGACAGTAATAAGTAAAGTTATTTGGAACTATCGTATACTACCAGATGAAACGTATGAACCAAATTTACATTGGGGAATCACTATGGTTACGGACAATGGAATGAGGATTAAACTCCTAAAGAGATCGACGTGCAGATGAGACTAAATAATATTCATTAACTACCTAAAATAGTTACATCTCTCACAACAAGTATTTATATATTGTTTTACTCACTCCTTTAGTAATGAACTTGTATCATATACTTCAGAAGTGCCCAGGGTTACATATCAATTACCTCGCTGTGTGGGGCAGTTTGTTCGTCGTTTTGCAACAATTTACGAATTGGTGATTTTTTTAAAATTTGGAATATTATCTCAGTTTAGTAATATATGGCTCGTTTGTTAATGAGACCTATTCTGCACGATGGTTGAAGACAAAATTCAATCATGATTTTTCCTTTCAGGGAAGAGTGTCGTTTGTAGGAAATGTTTATAATGTTTGTAATATACGAATACACTAATATGTCGTAAATATTGTAAATAAATAAATGATTGAAATAAATATAAAACATACTAATTATTATTAGATTAAATGACTACAGTGAATTACATAAAACGTATATTCAGAAGTTAGCGGTTAACCTAATTATTGATTAGATTTGGAATTTGGAGGGTCTCTATTCACTAATTTAGGTGACCAATGTAATACTCAAAATGAAAAAGTAGATGTTCTATTAAAAAAATAATGAGTAAAAATTTAGATGAAAATAATTTTTCAGAATAAATTTTATTTGAACATTTGTGGGCACTTAACTTCGAATTAAACTTTTGTCACGCGAAACCTATCAAATGGAAATTGCAATGTATGTTCAATCCTCTTTTCTGCCAGAGATATTCTGTTAAATGTACTCTCTTCTGATAAGAAGAGAAGCAAAAATGGCTTATCGTAAAAATGGGAAATTAAATTGCATGTACGTGTTGGAGGGCTGGTATACTGTATTTTAGTTGTGAGGTTACGCATAACATTTTCTACTCAACTGGGTAAAAATATAATACTGCTGCTAGTTGAAGTTAGTGGTGCTACACCAGCATTTACCTTCGTATATTATTGGTCACGGTTACAGCCAACTTGGGTAACAAAGAGTGCGAGGGCGGACATGCCATAACTGACCCGGCGCATAGGGCCGCGAGTTCGAATCCCGCCACGAATATAGTTGTTTGCGTCTGCGCCCATGAATGGACCGTGAGAGATGTCTCTGGGCATCAACCGATGTCACTGCAGTGCCTCTGACCGGGAGGTTCTAAGTCCTAGGTTCGGGTCTCGACAGTGGCAGACACTAGGTACATAGCTAGTTCAAATTCAGCCACTGTCGGGAGGACAATTCTAGCGGCCGGCCGCTCCGATCAGTAGCTTTCTGGGGCACCATCCCTTACTTACACACACTTACACCATCATGCACTACACTACCACACATGCCGGGAGAAAAGAGCTCCCGGCTGGGGCGGTACCCGCTGGTGGGATACCTGGTTGAGGAAAAGAAAACGCTCATTTCCGTCTGTATTCAGATTACAGTTTTTATCGGTAATTATATTAAGTTAATTTTTTGTTGCCTTTTTATGTACTGTTAACACCGCCTCCGCCGAAGCGCATAAAATAAACCTTTTTTTTTTGACGGTTTCTACCCCTTAGAGTTTGCCGTTTTCGATTTCCATAATGCTCGGTCCTCCCATTGACCCTCTTCCAATCCTGTCTCCTCCATTACATCATGTATATATGTCTTCCAGGTTAAACCAGGTCTACCTCTTCTACGTCTTCTTTCAGGTATCCAATTTAAAATTTGTTTTGGCCATCTCTCATTTTGCATCCTCTAGATATGTCCATATCATTGAAGAGCTTAATTTTTAGTCTTCTGGTTATGGTTGTTTGAACCCCTGCTGGGGTTCAAAAATAAAACTTTAAGGTAATATGTTCGTTATATCGATCACTCTGAAGTACCTCCAAATAATACTTTAAATGACAATAAAATCTGTTGTTCAAGACGGAAACAACAGTTTGGCCCTTACCGGCCTAGTTTTTTAATAAAATAAGTGTAAATTAGTACAGGCTCATAGTGAAAAACTTTCGCGGGTATAGTTTTAAGTTAATACTGATTTATACTGTTAACTGAGTAATTTTTAGGGATCAGATAATATATGGTTTATAGCATATCTCATCGGGATTCTGAGAGGCAAAACCTGCTGCGAAATTCATTGCAAACGAAAGTACAGGCTCATACTTTCACATGCAGTATAATTGTTACACCATACTCGATTCTATACCGCGAAAGTACATGCAATTACATATTTTTACTGATTGCGTATATCGAAAGGAACTTAACTTTATCGACCAGCAAAAAAATTAGTAGCTGATTTTTATTTTACATTCCCCAAACAATTTTTTTCTGGATTTTTTATTAACTGATTATTTTTATGTATGTGGCACATTTAAAAGCGTATATTCAACATTTGTGCATAGGAGAGACATTTTGCGTGACATTTTTGTTGCTTAATAACGTTTTTGTTTATTATATTTGAAGATGTTTTTTCGTACTACATTGTAAAATAAATATTTATATAAATGTTTTCTACTGCTCACTATAGTTTTGTTTAACGCATATTCTACGTTTTACGCGCGTTTATAGGCTATTTTAACACTAGAACGCCCGGAAAGCGACATTCCGACTCCTTGCGTATTGTCCCCATCCTCAAGCTTCGGCTTCTTATATTTAAACGCTATTTTTTTAATGCCTTTCCTAGTATTTCGGATACCTTCTGAAGAAATAGCCGTCCATTATTTTCTTCTTTGTTACATGCAAATTCATGAGATGTTTCGTGACGGTTGCAAATATATAACTAAGTTTCGAAAAGAAAATTATTACAAGCAATGGAATAGCTTTGTTATCACACAAAGTGTGAATGAAAAAAACATTTCTTCAAAATTTTCAGAAAAAGAGAGGTAATCGAGAATAAGTCATTTTTTGAGTTTAGGAGAGTATTTCAAACTCCAATGGTGTGGTCAGATACTCTTAGATTTTTAGACACTGTCTTGTTTCACGATTTTCTAAATAATAAGTGGGGTTTGGAAAGAAATCAACCGAAAATTTCATTGCTTTCATCTGTTTTAGGGTGAAGCAATACTTTTACAAACTGTTCAAATATTATGCATCAGAGGAATGTAGTTTATGGGCCGACATTTACATTCCAAACTCGATGAATGTAGTACACAGTTTATGGAATGAAACTCTGTCAAAAGCAGTAAATAATTGTCTTTTGGGAGATTATCACTAACATTTGGTGCCAATATTTTTAAATACTACATTGGAAATATTGAGGAAGTTTTGTGAAAGACAAGAAGATTAAACACATGGAAAATGTTGCTATGCACCGCACACAAGGATACAAAGTAGATGTTGATCAAATGTATGTAGTATTCTACAAAATGTGCTCCAAAACTATAGTCTGTAGAAATTATTATAGTTTTAGATCTACAACTATACATGTTTATACTGTTTATGCCTAGAAAGTCCAGAAATGTAAAAAGTAAATACAATGAAATCCTGAAGACCTACTGCCATTTCAAACATGGAATTAAATTTCTTGAAGAACTGTGTCCTCTAACACACACCAAGTTCCTATCGGTGTGAAAAAAATTAAAATCTTTCGAATAAACTTGTCATATTGCGAGATAGTATGAGAAGGCAAAATGTGCGCCGTGCCGTACAGGACAATATTCTGAATTTCATAGTGCTTAGTGCAGCCCGGGATCTTAAGTCAAATGCTTTGTAAGATCTTTAGGAATAGAACCCAGGACACTTGTCTGTTACTGGCTCTATCTCTGTTCTAAAATTTCACATTCGACTGACCTCGATTTGCAAAACCTGTATATTTTAGATATTTTTCAGCAGACTTTGATGTTTCATTTCCATCACATGGGACAGATACATCAATGAGGAGACATGTTTTTCTGCTGTAGTTCGTATCATCATATCTGGTTTGTTAGTTATTATAGTACGATTAGTATGAATCTGGTGATCATAGAAGATGGTGGTATGTCCAGCTCTTGTAACTGGTTTGGTGGTGGTTGTACCATTTATTACTTATCTTTGGGACATTCACAGCTTTACTTATATGCTAGTGAAGATATAAGGCCACTGTCTTTTCTTATATTCGTATTAAGGCAGAATTGGGCTTCTTGAAACAATATGATCAATTGTTTCAGAATGCTCCCTTCCCAGTCAGCATCTGTCTTCCTGTGTTGTCTTCAAGATGTCCTTCTCGTACCGGCGTGTTTGTACTGCATGATCTTGTGCTACTATTAGGAATGCTTCTGTCTCTATTTTCATTTTACCTCTTTTTATTCCATGAATGAATTAGCTCATCATTAACATTCACATTCACATTATCGAGACCATCTAAATATTGACCATGCATATTCTAACATACCCACCTACACTCACACACAACTTACCACCTTCACAG